GGTGTTTGCCATCGGGATTGGGTTTTCGTCGCTTGGCAAAGACGTTGTAAAACAAGCCAATTCACTTCGTGAACTCGGCAACTAGGTTACCGTTGTTTTTTCTTACCTCTGTTTTTTTTTTGGGCGGTAACCATCATGGTGGTCGAGTAGATCTTGTTGTGTGGGGTCGAGAACCCTCACTCCGCGCAAGGGAGATAATCGCACCACGGTGTGTTAAAATGGTCAAGCACCCACGAGGCAGTTACACAGTGCTTTCAACTGTCGCAGTAAGTGAAAGCGCCAGAAAATAAGTGAAGTCATACGCAGCTGTCATCCGTACGCAAGGAAGTAAGCACAAGATGCCGAACACCCTTAGCAGGATGCACCGCACCCCTCATGCGACTCGCCGAGTACCTCACGGCGCTTCGCGCTTGGTGATGTGAAAACCTGGTCCGGTGAGAACCCGGCGTGCTCCGTCCCGGCTTGGTAAGGATGCGAGGTCAATGGTCTAACGACTACGGCATGCACGATTACGAGTACACCCCCTCGCTATGGGTCATGCCTACGCAAAACCTTGCCGAGGCAGCGAGGGAAGAAGGGGACAAGATGTATATATGCATCATGTGGTCTACGCTGTTTTTTTTCTTTTATTTCTAGCTGGCGCGTACAGTGCATTCCTTCAGTTGACTGTGACTTTCCGCGTGCTTTTGTTCTATTGGGTGCAACAAAAAAACAATTGCAAATTGAATTGTTTGCTGCCCCTTTTGCACCCCCCGTGATGAGCTGAACTCGTGCTGGCGTTACCCCTGACGGGACTGCATGTGGCACACTGGCCGTGCGGCACCCACAAGCATCGCCCACTGCCCGCTGCTGGGAGATAGCTGTATTGCAATGAATCTGTGGGCGTGCCAACCTTTCGCGTTGGTTGAGTTGCTGGGGAAGTTGCTTTCCAATGTGTGCGATGTGAAAAAAGCCAACGGCAGGTTGTGTGCAGCGAGACACTCCAAACAACAGTCGTAGAGCAGGCTTGAGGATGAGGTTTGGACCGCTGGCCCCACTTGTTGATGCTTAGCTTCGTGTGTGTGCTGACATATTTTCCCAGCTCCGGCGTGGTGCACACGGTCTACCGCTCTATCTGGGTTGGGTCACCACGTCACCTCGCGGCAGCGATTCCGCCGCATTGGGGTGTTGCTGAACTTCCATGTGGCAAGGTTGCGTTCAAACGACGCAAGCCTTTTTTGGCCCAAACCCCAAATTGGTTCATCCAATTTAGGTATTCAATTTGGATGAAAAAAATGAGCGTTGATACCGGCCCTGATACATGCAGAAAGAATGGCAAATAAAAGCAGGCTGCAGGACCAGCCCACCGCTGGCCGATCGATGGCTGCCAGCTGTGAAGTTTCCCAAGGTCCAACAGCTCATACACAGCTTTGCCTGTGCCTTTTGACTCGAACGGCCCAGCGAATCTCCACGAACCAAAAAAAGAAAATTGCGGAATAGATCTGTATACCATGTACAACAAGGCTACTATATAGTTATTGATGCAGCATATATCTTGTCCGCACCACTTCTGAGCGAAGGCTCCTACTACTTTGTGTAGGAACTATTGTAGCGCCTCTATTAAATATTGTCCCCACCGCTGAGCAGAGGCTTCTGTGTGGGAATGAGAGTAGTGCCTATGTTTTGTCACCCCACCGAGAAAAGTCTTCTATGCTGCAGGAATTCATGTAGGGCCGGCATCATTTTCTTGCGCCCGCCAAAATCTGTGCCTCGTTTTCTGACGAACATGAAAGTATATTTTATGCGCGGGCCGGCCCTGCTGTACTCCGAATTCTTGACAGAGCAAAAAAGGAAGAAAGCCGAATCCAAGACCTTCCCGTGAGAGCCACACGAGATGGGTACGCTCGTGGCTCCAACGTAAGAGGTTGGAGTGACAAACGCCCGACCCTTTCATATCGGAGCCCCCGCTTATACCGGAGTAAGAGAGTTCCCAAACATTCTCAAGCGGGTGGAGTCCGTGACAACCGATTTCGATCGTCATATGTCGGACACCCCGGTCGTGACGAAAGGCCCTCGACCCGCTTTTATCGGAGCCCCCTCTTGTACCGGAAATATAAGGGCGTACCCAACTATACTCTAGCGGGTCGGGTCCGTGACAACCGATTTCGACCCTCCAATATCGGAGCCGCCTGTTATAAGCTGCCCTACCCTCTTTGCATCGGAGCCACGACTGTATGCATATCAGCTGTGTTGCACACACATGCATGTGCGCGTACGGCCCGCGTCGGAGAATATTCAACAAAAATATTTTTTTCCGGAATGAACAGGTTCCAGAATCGCTGTTGCTTTCCCGATGAATCGGCGAAGCGTCG